TGTACCCCCGAATTGTTGGTTTTGTACCCCTAAATCACGTTGTACCCCTTTGTACCCCCGAATTATTGTACCCTCCGAATCATTTGCCAGATTCGGGGCGATTTGACTAAACCAAAGTTCTGAAAAATAAATTACCCATTCAAAAAATACCGTACTAAACAATCAAAACTTTCCTGAACAATTATTGGAAAAGGTAGCCGACCTTAAGCATTTCGAAATTTTTTTAGGTTACTGTAGTTTTTTAGCGTTTGGAAAAATATAAATTGTGGTAAGAATCAGAGATGTCCGGAATGACTTTTTGGGAAGACGGAATCCAGTATAAAATATTTTTCTTAAAATCAGGAATCCGGAATACGGACATCTCCTAGGCATACAAATTCTTAAAAACATCTATTACGCTTTATTTTTGCAACATTAGTAGCGAAAGTTTAAAAACTAATCCCATGGCAGAGAATTCTTTTTGGTTAACATAATACGGAACCCCGACAAAATATATTTCACGGAATCCGGAGTGCGGAATCCGGACGTCTCTGTTAAGAATGTTGATTTTCAAAGCTCTAAAGAGACAGAAGCATTAAGTTAGAAACTTTAACTTCGATCGGTAATTCATTTTTGTCATATATTGTGCCATTCCTGTATTAGTGAGCTCCGATTCCCTGAGAAGCCGAATAAAGCTACATGCTGTATTCCTCAAACCCAATTCTCTTGACTGTCCTCAAAGCTTAAAATCTTTGAATTTAATTTTTCGAAAAATCTGTAGCAGACCTGTGAGCCCTAACAAAAACCAATGGAAAATGTATTGCAATTAAAATCAGCTCAAATATGTTTGTTTCAAATTAAAAAAAAAAAGTACCATATAAACAACACTATAAGAGAGTGCCACCCAAACCGCCAACTTTGAGTCCAGATATCTCATTTCCTGTAGAAGATATCAAAAAGTGGTCGACTGACAAAATATTTGTAATGTTATATTAAACATGTTGACTTTTGACCAATTGTTGATATTTTTCACAGGAATTGAGATATATGAGTTCAAAGTTTACGGATTGTGTGGTACTTATTCGAGTGTTTACGGTATATGATGGGTCACATGTTGGTGAAGCTTTTAAAGTTTTAAAAAATCATTTTGAATGTATTAGAATTAGTTATTGTCAAAATTGGAGCCAGAATTAGGACCCATAGAAAAATTCATACTTGAAAAACTGCCCAAAACAGGTATTGTCATAGTTGTTTTGGTTCAATATTTTTGAAGAACTAAATAAGTTAGATATGATAGAACTTGACGAGCACTACAAAATGATCGTGCCTGAGAACAAAGCTACAGACCAAACGGGTTGAAAAAACCGCCAGGGCCAGGCCCGGTCCGGACTTTCTCCATAGACAAGATGCAGATTCTCAAATACTTTCGTAGTCCTGGTTGAGTTCTATCGTATTTTTCTTAGTCGTCTAGAAAATACTGATCCTAAAAGAATGTATGACAGGTCCCGTTTGCAAGTATGAAAAAATGAAGTGTATGCGGTGGAGACTTGCGTGTCATTGAGCCTGTAAAATGACTATGAATGTCCTTTTGGCAGACAAATGAAATTCAATCTGAAAAATGACACTTGATGCTCATGAAAACCTTTTTGTGTTGTTATTTCTTCAACAAACTTGAAGACTATTCTTTAGAAAAACAAACAAGAACGATAAGGAAACGAACAGAACGGAAGGAATCACTGAACATTTTTGTGGTGACAAAAAAGAGGAAGAAGAAACGTTTCGAATGAATTTTAGGAAATTTTGTTATAAACAGGTTGAAATAACTCGGAATGAATAATCTGAAAAGGATGTAAATCTCGAAAGGAAGTTGTAGTTAAGTAGGCCAAAAATGAGATAGAACTGAAAATAATTCATTAAAGAGTGAGAAATCAACAATAAGAATTTTGTGCTGTTGAAAGTAGGAAAGACTAAAATAGAGAAAACAGCTATCATAATAGCTTTGTAGGCCATTTTCAGATCTTTTTCTTGGGGATCCTTTTTTAGAGGTTACTGCTTATAGGATGATCTCTGGAATCTGAAGTTCGCACACTTAGAATGTTCAACTTGAAGTTAGTTCCAGTTCCAAATGGTTCCGCTTTTTTTCTGAAAGACATTCCACCAATGCACACTGACTAAATTGATGTATCAAACAAAGACACTTCACACCTCACAGTTCATAGCTTTCTTGGAATTCGAAACACGCGACACCAATTCTTCTGATGTCATGTGAATGTTTTCGGATATTTGAATAGAAAAAAAAAACAGACAAACGATATGAGAAAAAAACAGCTGAACATGTTGATGTCAAAGATTGAAATAGATCCCAGAATAATTTTTTGAAGAATGATGACAAGGAAATTTGGTTTTCCGAGAAACGAAAAGTCGGGGGGAAGAGTGTCATCGGGTTTTGAATCAAATGGATCCTGGATGTTGATTCTAGCTGTTGAACTGAATTTTTTTAAAGTTTACAATCCTTTAGCTGCAGATAAACTTTTTCAAATTATATTCTGGTCAGAGTGGCTAACAATGGGGTCTTGCGAAAGCAAATTTTGCTGCTATTTTTCATAATTTTCATAAAAATAGATATTTATATTTAAACACTTTCCTCAAAATTCTGATTTCTTTTTTGATAATATACAAAAATCAAAAGGATTACTGTAGGGAAAAATCATCTAAACATCAAAAGGATACTGTAGGAAAAAATATTGGGAAACGAAATAGATTACTGTAAATAGGGGAAAATATCCGAAAATAAAAAGGATTACTGTAGGGAAATGTATCCGAAAATCAAAAGGTTGCTGTAGGGGGAAATACTTGAAAATAATAAGGATTACTGTACAGAACATTATTCGAAAATTGAAAGAATTACTGTAGGGTAAAAACATTTGGGAATGAAAAGGATTATTGTAAAGAATTATACTTGGAACTGAAAAAGAATACTGTAGGTCATAGGGTTAGAAGTACGCTGGGGCGCGATTTCTGACCGAGCCTTCTGGACCGATGTGATATTATTCGAAAACTACAGTAACTTCGCTCGCAAACCACTGATATATCAGTGATAAGCTAATATTGAAAACACGTGTCGTGTACTATGCCCGTTTTAAAATGAGTAACAACCTACATACCTCGTGCTGAAGAATCTGTGATTATAATTGAACAAATAACAAGATTTTAATCTGGAAACACCATATTTCTCTTGTGAAATATAATTTCAAAGTGAAATAAAAAACTATAGCGCAAGGAATTTTCAGATGTTTATAGGTCACTCTATATCATCATCATCACACCCCCACTTCCGATTTTATTGAAATCTGATCCGATATTTTTTGATTTCGAAAACTGAAATCTTAAAAAATATCTTTCAATGAAAATGTTTTCAATATTGTACTATCTCCTCTCTTCCAACCTAGAAAGGACCAAAGTCGAAACAAAACACAATTGGTTCTCGTCGTTGACGGCGAAAGAAGAAAGGCGTTAATCCTTCAATAATTTTGCTGATAAAAAAATCATCATTGAAATGTATTGTTTCGATGCTTGAAGTTTCCAGTGTTTATTTTTGTTATGAAACCACAAGAGAGAAAAAAATGGAGAGGATTTGAAAGCTGTTTGATCTGATTCAAGCTCATTCAAGAGATTCTATTTTATTGAAATATACTGTAACATCAATACTAGGTTATGGCAAGTGAAAAAAAAAAACAACAATTGAATTGATCGAATTATTCGACAGTAAGCTCGCGGCAGATCATAATGAGAGGAAGATTTACTATAAAAAATCGTTGTGATGCTAATTAGAATTCAAGTGACAATATAAATATGCCAAACATTAATAATACCGAAAAAAAGTGAATGGAATCCGATGATTTGAAAACTATGATAATATTAGTTGGCACTTTTGTTATATGGAGGCGAACGAGAACGAGAATCTCGTTTGCGGGAAGGTGGTGGGCGGGAACCCTTCTGGGATGGTTTCGGCGGAGATTCCAGATGTCGGCGTCTAGCATGCTCTATCTCTTTTCTCAGTGGGAGATAGTCCAATTCAAGGGTGAAACGACGCTTCTTTGTATTGACTCCCGCCAAACACTGTAAATAGTGAAATTGAAAAAATATAAGACCTCTCCCGTTCCTTCGGAACACCGTCAGATTCTCCATAATCAATTCGAACTGAACATGTAAAGATACCTTTGAAATATGTGCCGCAGACAATACATGAGACAAAAAATTGGCAGCCATTTGCATCTCGCAGTGACACACTTCGCATTTTTTCTGAAATATCTCAAAATCAAATCGTTATTTATTAACTTCATCCTACTGGAATCTTCCAGGATTCAACGATTCTGTGCAGTTCATTGCGTTGTTCTTTTTTCAGCTGTTTGTAATCGGATCGGAGAAATTCAGCTAACTCAGTTACAATTTTTCCTGCGAAAAATGTCAGTTTGTAGATTTACAAATCCTCTGAAGCTCACCTTTTAGTCTTTGGTAATCCATCTTTTTCTTTGTCCCATGGTAAAACGGTAGTACTTTTTTCTCTGTTGCTGGTGAAACCTCTGCTGGTAAAATCCCTTCACGTAGTAGCGGCGGAAGTTCCTAGCAAGCTAACATTTTCAAACCGTTTTCGAATTTAGATTCTCACCGGACCGTACTTCCGATTATCTGTCAACTCTTTATCTGATGAAACATCTGATAGGTAATGGCGAAGTGGAGAGCGGGATCTATCTATTCCTTCTCTTCTTCTACTTTTTCTAGGGGGTAACAGGGATTGTGAATTCGATCTTCTTCGTTTCCTTTCTTCTAGAACTGAACCCTTTTTCTGCAAAACATCTATCCTAATTAACGTGCAACGGATAACTCACCGAACTTGATTCCTCATCTTTTCTCTTTGGTTTCTCTTGTTTATCAAAGCCCGAAATATTCATATTTTCAGATGTATTTGATCTTGTTACATTTAAGAATTCCTTCTTTTCTGTCGTTTGCTTAATCACATTCCCTGGTTGGATTTCAGATAAGGGATTTATTGAAAATGAGTGGAATGTTGCTCGCGGAACCTGTGACACTGTCAATGGAATAGGTTCCTCTTTTCCAAATATCTGAATGAGTTCCCCAAGTGATTTTGCAATAGTGATATTGCTTCCTTCGTATTGACCGTTATCAGTTATCCTGATTAAATGATGTGCACTGAAAAACTTTCTTTGATACCAGGAAAGAACAGTTGACGCTGCATATGGTCCTCTGAAATAAGTATTAGGTTGGCGGGAAAGTCTTTGTCACTCTGTTTGTTTAATCACTGTTCTCGTATATGGAGGCTGTGTATGATATCGACTCTAGTGAATAACAAGGTGATAAGAACCTTCCATATAAACAAGTCCCCATCTCCTTCCCTGCTCCTCATCTGTAATTGAAACGATATGTTTGTTCCCACTGCTATTCACATCAGACATGTTTTGATTTACCTCTTCCTATCTCACACCACGATGAAGGATTCGGAAACTTTCTTGAAGAATGTGTACAACACACATGCCCCTCACTACAATACTATTCGCAATTGGTTCCATCGTTTCGAAAAAGATGACTTCTCGCTCGATGAAAAGGATCGCTCTGGGTGACCCCGTGAGTTGGATTTGGACAAGCTGAAGCACGCATTGCAATCGGATCCATTTCAATCTAGCCGTGAACTAGCTGTCACATTCGGAGTTCACCATAGCACAGTCCTTGAAGGTTTGAAGTCTCTTGGAATGAGAAAACTTTTTGGTCGATTCATACCTCATCACCTGACTCAAGCCAACCTTGACCGCCGAGTCGACGATTCGATTACTCTTCTCACTCTCCACGCGGGCGATCGATGGCTGGACCGGCTAATAACCGGAGATGAGAAGTGGGTCTTCTACGATAATCACCACAGGAAATCCCAGTGGGTTGGAGAAGGAGAGAGCCCACAGGATGTCCCCAAACCCGACCTTCATCCGAAAAAAGTTATGCTCTCTGTGTGGTGGGGAGTGGACGGCCCCATCTACTGGGAACTTCTGCCCGAGGGCAAAACAATAACTGGAGACCTCTACACTACTCAACTACGAAACCTCAAGAAAGCAGTCGACGAATTCCACCACA